CCACCAACCTTGCAATTAGCAAGCCCAGGCTGAACCTATTGTTCCACAAGAGCTGCTTTCTCAGGAGAAAGAGGGGGTAGAACAGTTCTGAAAATAAGCCAGGGCAAATCTCATGGGGTTCATTTCTACTGCTACTCATCAGGGTCCCCAGGAGTCAGAATAAGCCCAGCAGAAGTTTGTTTACCAGTTCTGGATTTTCCAAGCCACATGAATTTGGCTGTGATTTCATCAGCTTGCTTTAGGTACCACAAGCACCATGTAAGAGTTGGACATGATAGAAATTTTTCTTTAGACTGGAAAAGCCAACAGGCCATTTGGAAACATAGAGGACTTTGGGGTGTAGCGAAAAACCCAAGGTGATATTCAAAGAACATTTAATTTGAGAGGAGGGAGTTGGAATGTTAAGTGGAGGGGAGCAAAAACAAATTCCTGTTTCATATATTTTTTTAGAGAATAATTTCCATGGCCTAGAAGGAGTTAATTAGTTCTTTTCCTTCTTTCCTTCCTCTATTTTATCTGTTCTTGTTACTCTGACTTTAAATTAAATGAATGCTAATATCCAGCCACCTCATGGTTTAGCAATTCTTTGTAAACTAACAAAGAATCTACTTATCCTTGACCTTTTTATTTACAAAAATTAATTTTTATTTCTGAACATCAGAGTACTGAATGAACTTTCCAACATTAACTCTTTAGAACAGTGGGATTGGTATAAACGCAGTGTATTATATTTGCGTTAGCCCTGGTGGTGGCATAGTGGTTATGTATTTGACTGCTATCCTCAAGGTCAGCAGTTTAAAACCGCCAGCCCTTCCAAGGGACAATGATCAGGCTTTCTGTATCCGTTATAGTCTCGAACACTCACAGAAGCAATTCTATCCTGTCCTGTAGGGTCAAACTATGAGTCAATATCAGCTTGATAACAAAACCATTTTTTTGTTTTTTAAAAAAATTTTATGCCAATCAGTGGTATTTGCTTTCTTTCAGAAGACTGCTAATAATGGACATTCCCTTAATTCACAACATTGGTATTGTTGTGAAGTCAGGGAAATTTCAAATAGAATTTATTTCTGATGTGGTTTCTATACTCTTAGATACTTGTCTTCTGATTCCAAGCCCAAAGTGAATGGGAATTCATCTATCTTAGTTTGTAGCCGCTGAAATTTAATCACATCTGAGCCTGTAGCTCTCAGCATGCTGTTTTGTTTGCACATCACTATAAAATGGTTTAAATGATTTCCCTCTCCTGGTGACCATCATTGGGCAGGAGTAGGGATGGCTACATGACTTATTTTGCCTTCATGACTTTGGGGGAGGCATTGCAGGTTACAAAGCCTATTCACTAAAACTGCCTAGAATGCAACATAATATTATAGACAACTAAAAATGTATTCAGTCCTTTTTATCTTTGATCATAGCTCTGACACTATATATTATTTTAAATAGCTGCCTTGCATCATTTTTCCCACTCACCATAATCACTAATAACCAAATACTGAAAATATCAACTCGGTAGTTGTTTCCTATTGAAATGCCTGGATAGGTGACTCAGATTCTCACAAAGACCCTCGGAAACCTAAGATGTGAGCCTGGGACTTGAAAGACATTATTTGAAAGGAAAGACCAGAGGATAATTTGCTATGCTAAAATACAGTCTACGCTGAATTTTCATCCACATAAACTGAAATGCCATAGAGGAAACATTATATTTCGAAGGCTATCACAAAAGTACAAGAGATATTACCTAGCATGCTTAGAAGACTGTTGTGAGTTTTTACACATCATTCGATTTAGTCACTTTACTGAAAATTATTAACCTTGGCTGGATTGATTCTTAAGCTCTGGACTTGCTAAGGGATACATGAATAAACAATAACAAATACATACTGCATATAGTGTTGGAAACTATTGTGTTTGGAATGTTCTTCTATCTCCTTGGGCAGTTTCATAATGGACTGGTTATGGAATTTGACAAGTTATTTAACATTTCACCCCCCAAACCTCCCCCAACTTCTGTTTCCTTTCAAGAAGAAAGAATTTTAGAGAAAAAAAATTGATTTAATATTAATATATTTAGACATAGCACCCAAAAAGAGCACAATATGCATAAGGGTGCATGTGTGCTAGGCTGACTTTAAAAATGTTTAATAATGCATGTAGCAATTGCTAATATATAGCCTACTTTGATGAAATTTAGTATCATCTCATTTAAGGGAAATATGGTTCTGCCTTACTCTTCCAATTATATTGAAATTTCTATCAATAAATATATAAAAATGGAAGATTTTAACATATTTTTATAATTCATTATTCCATTTATGAAAAATTTGGAAAGTGCAATAATAGATGCTTTGAGATAATGCTGAGCATCTGTGGATTGAATTGTTTATCAGTGTTGTTTCTAAGAATATTCATGTTATGAAGCCATATTTACAAATATGCAAGCATATTTTCTCCCTGTAAGAGACTATTTATTTTTGATTGTTAATCTACATACTCATGCACATATGTGCACATATCTATAGTTAGACATTTTGTTCAATAACCTGTTAGTATATATTGAAATTATAAGCAAAATTGTCCATGCAGATGGGACCAAAAATGTGATTACTACACATAAAATCAAACATTATACAAATTGAAATGAGCTTCAGCAGTTTTTGGAACAAGAAACTGAAGGGGTATTAATTTGCATGCCTTTTAGAAAATGTTCAATTTCAAAGTATTTAGTATGATTTGGGGCTATCATGTGTGTATGTTATGTGCACATGCACATACACACATACATACTTGAGGCACCAATTTTACTTGCATATGTACAAACTCCTTTTGCAAATTTCACTTATTTATGATCCACAATATAGAAACAAATTTTAGTCATTTAAATTCTCTTTTACCTTTCCATAACCTACTTCCTAATTTGCCTCATTACTATTCTAAACAGCATCTTATTGCTATCTGGTATTTTATATTCTGATATTTTAATTTTGTCAGTTATTTTCTCCCAATCTGGATGAGATATATATTATGTGAATATAAGAATGCTGCACTTTGTGTTACTGGTTATACAATTAAAAAACATTAGTTATTTTGAATATATGTAAAACCTATTAGATATCGATTATCGGAGTTTGATTACTATCGTGGGCATGCATTGTCAGTGGATAGAAAAACAAAATCCAGTAGATAATAGGATAGAAAAATTTTGAGAATTGTGTCAAATATGAAAAAGTCAAATGAATAAGATAAGAATGAGAATACATAAAGGTTGCAGACTAGAATCTTTTCCTCATATGTCTTTGGCAAGAATTAGAGTCCCTTTAGAATTTTCAAAGCCGAGCAGAGCAACAAAGTGAGATACAGATGAATTACTTTTCATGATCTCAGCAAGTATCCCGTATGTTTTGTCTGAGCTATGTGTATCACACTAATCTTTTTTATTGGGATTTAATATATAGATCACATGATTCCATATTTCAATCACATCCAGTGGTATTGTATAATAGCTACCACCATCAGTTTCCAAGCATTCTTCCCCTTCCTAGACTCCTCGACATAGTCTTCCCTTTACAGCCCCCCAACACTGTTCTAGTGCCCCCACCCCCACCCATACGCACGCACACTCTCTACCCCAGAAACACTTATTCTGCTTGTCCCTATAGGTTCATCAATCCTGGGTTTCATCTACCAAGCCCCCCTCCCCAGAAAAATATATATAACACAAATTCAAGAGTGTGGTCCCCATTGATATACCACGTCTGAGATAAACCTTAATATGAACAAACAAAAACAACAACAGAAAAAAATACAGAAATGTTGAAAACCAGATCAGGTCCAGTGTGCATCACAGGGGGGATCAGCTGACAGTTTTTAACTCTTCAAGTCAGGTTTATCCCTTTGATCTTCTATTCTTGTCTTTATTTAAACGTGGGCACGAAGCAGACTTCTGTTCGGGTGTTTCCACTTGTGGGTGTACACTTTAAGACGAAGAGAGAAACATGCACAAATTAAACCTGAAGCCGGTGAGGATGGTGGGGACTCAAACATCTGCAAAATGTGCAAGCTGCCAGTTTCTAACTGCTGAATGTGGTTTACATCGGGAACCTGCATACTTATGTCCTAGGGAAACAGGAGCCCACACATGGTGAACAAAGGTTGAAAATAAGAAAATGAGACTATTTTTAAAATGAAACTACTCTTGCTCACTGACAGGCTTTTTTTTTTTTTTTGGCAAGACTTTCAGACACCAATCGATATCTCATATTTACTGCATATTTCAATAACATTAAAGCAAAACAAAATGTTCTTTCCTTTAGATTAAGAGGTTGATCAATTTTGCTAATCTGTGTTGTACCTAAATTAGAGGTTCATTAAAAAAAAGTACTATATTTCTTACTTTGTTTTAACTGAATGTTTAACTTGTTTAAAAATAGTTATATAGAAACATATATATATATACATATTCTCATTACTGAACTGAATGTGCTTTTAAACATTGGAGATTTATTATTGACTGACTAAAAAGCTCAATTATATGGAATCTAAGGTCGGTCTCAAGTTCTAAGCAATATATATTGCATAACTAACATTAACATGCAGTAAAGAATTTTATTAAAAGCCTTGATTCCTAGAGGTATCATAAAATATACTGCTATCTGCATTATCTATACATCCTCTACCAACTACTGGCGACAAGGTCCTTCTTTATACAGAATGAATTAATGCATCCTCATCCGGAGAGTGCTTTTACACTTTCTTAGGGATTCATGCTTGATACGCTTTCTCACTCAAACTGAAATAACCTAATTTTCTTCCGATAAGAATATATCTTAAGTGTCTAAAGAGATAACACCAAGCCTGTCTTTTAAGCATTGGTCATTCTTAGGAGATTTTAATATTAAAATCAAAATCAGTAGACAGGATTCATGATTCAATTGGACCCCTTTCCTTCCCCACTTTGGCTTTTCTATCTGTTAACTAAAACTATTTTATTTTTCAAGCATTCCCGACTTTGCTTTCCTTTGCTATCCTCACCCTACACACCATCACAACCAGACTTCAGTCGGTTGGTCTGCGTCCTCCAGGTGAGCAATTGCTTCCTCTGCTAGCGTGCTTCTCTGTGCTCCGCATTTGACTTGTTAGATGGTAGCACTCAACAAAGACTATAAAAACAGATGCCTGGCAGAACGTGCAGGCTTGATTTCTTCAAAGAAAAATAGTGTTGCAAGTAAAAACATGGAAGACGGGTAATGCATCTTGTTTTCAAGGGGAGGTCATCTTAAATGCCCAACGAGTGATTTTCAAAAGACGATTTATTTTAGTACAGAAGTTGTAAAATGTTGAGGATTAAAACAGAGAATTGAAACATTCCTTTTTACCAGGGTTTCCCAGATTCATTATTGTTAAAGGTGGGTTTGAGTAGCTCAACTCTAAAATATTTCATATAAAAGCCTTACATTTAAATTAATTTCTCTTTAAGGGTAAATTTTAAAAGCAAAAGAAGAAATTAATGCAATGGAAAGGGGGCTGATGCAGGGAAAGGGAGATTTGATTATTCACATAAATTTTGGGTGTTTCAGTCTGAAGAAGAACTGTGTTGCATCTGAGAAACTGATGTTCCCAAGTTCTTCTTTCCTTTAAGATAGCCAATCACCCCACATAAGGGGAAATGTTATATTGTGGGAATATATCACATAGTTCTTTACACACCTACAAATGGCTAGACTATGGATTCTTGAAGTTAGAGCATAACCAAATTTATATTGACTCTCATAGCTGTGAAGCTGAGGACTAAAGTCCTCTACATTTGTTAAATGTTTCCTAACTCCACAAATCTGCATTACTGGGTATAATTTAAACAAGCAGCGAAAGCACACCTGTGATAATTAGAGTAACCAAGTGAAAAGCAGGAAGAATAATCAGCCTCAGATGGCATTGAACTCACCACCTCATATAGACAGGCATTGTATCTGGAACATTGGAATATATTTCAGAAATTTCATTTGTTTCTACATAGTTTAACCTCTACTACAGGGAAACCTAGGCCAATGGTGAAAATGATTACATCACCTTAAATTACAGTGCCTTAATAACTCTTGTAAGATATAACAATTTAGGAAACATTGTTCTTTTTCTTGATGTTGGTTTTCTTATACTGGAAAAAGAAAATAAGTGCATTATTTTCTGGTGTGAAAATGAATGGAAATTGGAAAAGAAAGAATAGTGATAGGGTTTCAAACCAAACGGAACCAAACCGAACTCATGGCCAGGGTCAATGCAGGCTCACAGTGACCTCAGAACTGCCCTTCACGCTTTGGAGGACAGGCAGGGAAGTTTGACCACACACATACACACACGTTTGGATTCAATTTTCCATCACGCCCTAAAAGTACTTGTAGAGTTCAAACTCATGACCCTTTAATTAGTTTTAAAAGAGAATGTTATTATGAAATTCCATAAAAGTTAGAGGCAAAAATATCATTTCTATGTATCAGTTGTTTCAGTTTTCAACTATGAATTTTTATACATGTATTTCCTGTGTCCTGAGAGACATTTGTCTCAGGGCCGGGCATCTTCCTTGGTCTCTGTGCATGAGCATGTTCGTTGGTGCGTGTGCACATAAGTGCATGCACACCTGGGCTTAACCCTGCTGTTTACTCATTTGAAACACTGAGTGGGCAGCGGGTTCTCACTGAGCACTGGGAAATCCAGAAGTAAGGTGGATTAGGCCTTTGATTTTATACTAAGTGGTCCCAGAAGATTTTTGTCATTAAGTGAGATACAGGCACCTTCCATTCATTTTCATATTGTGTAGATATGTGCACAAAGGCTAAATGTATTAGTATATAGATGCTCACTTTTTGGTTTTATTTATCTGTGAGTATTCATCTTAATAACCTAGAACTATCTTGATATTTTTAAAGTTTTTCCATTTTCCTTGTTTAAAGTATCAGGTGGTGAAATTTGTCAATATTTATATTGGTATACTTGTATATGCAACCAGGAGAAAGATAAGCCTTTCTATGCTTTCTTCCAAAAAGTGTGACATTTTTGGAAATCCCCAGAGGCAGTTCTACCCTGTCCTATGGGGCACTTCGTGTCGTGATCAACTCTCTGGCAGTGAGTCTATGCTGCATTAAAGTTCTTCAGTTCAAAATTGAGTTATCGTAGCTAACCTACTGGAATCCTTTTCCATGTGTGCCATTATATCTTGCTCATGATTTTATTGTAAGATTTTATTTTCTTTATAAATATATAACATACTCATTTTATGTGCTATGTTGCAAAATAATCATAATAACCATATTTTTCTTTTTGCTTAAATCAGTGTGAATTTCCAGATATATGACTGATCTAGATATAATCCTTTCCATATTTTGTGAGTAATAATTAAATCAATGAATTCTATGCTCTAATGAGTACTTTAAATATTATAAATGCTAAAATTTATATGCATGCCTAATATTTGGCATTTTATGTAAAATCACATGCAGGCACATTTATTTTTAACAACCAAGTAGACAAACTGAAAAAGAAGAGAAACCCAGATCGGAAGATTCGTGGGTGTGTAGTGGCTACACGCTGGGCTGTGATCCCGCAATCCCGTGGGCCACATGGTTGAAACCCTCGGCCTTTCTCCTCCAGTCTACAGCCACAGCCCCGGAAACCCACAGGAAGGTCATTATGAATTGGCGTCAACCCTATGGGAGTGACATTGGTGTGTCGGAGTGATAAATTTACAATTGTCAACAATACTTAAAAGGATAATGGTCACATCTAATAACAAGCAGCTACATCATTTTTCTTTGCAAGCCTCTACTCTCATCTCAATGAATGAACCTCCAAATTTTATATTAGAAATTTATCAAATCAAGCAGTTTAAATTTCATTCTATTTCTAGTCATTCCTTGGACTTTAATTCTGGTTAATTTGAGGTCAGTGAACAAACTCAGAAAGGCCTCAAAATTTAAAGGTCATTCAAAATATTAAGACTGGTTTGACACATTCTCAAAATTGTAATCTTTTCTCTGGTGTGAGCAGAGCCTTTCCTAGTCCAATTATGCGTCCTGGAGAAAATTCTACATTCTTCAATTAATTTATATAGACTCAAAATGTATGTATAGCAATTTTATGGTTTAGTTAGTAGATTCCTACTATTTTCTGGAGATTTGCAAGACATTGAAAACAAAAGTACAAACTTTTATTTGGTAGAATTTAAGTGTTTCCTTTCTTTTATACTAGAATGGCCTAATTTCTAATTATATGGACAGGAAGCAGCTACCTTGTTCTGCAAGTGTGTATTTCCAAAGAAGATACAATCGATTTATACTTTTCTTATGTGTGATCTTGCTGTACTTCTACTTCTTTCTAAAACAGCATCGATATAAAAAAAGGCAGTCCTGTCCTTTCTCAATCTTATGTGATGTATGTACGGACAGATTCACTCAGTGTAATGCACAGAACTAAAATCCCTCAAGCAATTCTCTGATTCCTGGAGCTGCAGTTATGCCTCCTTTCACATGATTAAAGAGAAAAAAGAATTTTGAAGATGATAAAGATTGCTCCAACACTGTAAACATTACATAGAAGCTTTGTCTTATTAATAGTTATATTGTCTTGTGGGTTTTCTGGCCATTGACAAGTAGATAGTCAATAGTTATGGACTGATCATTAAATGAAGACAATGAAGCCATTGGTAGTCATGGTGAGATTTGCAGAGAACTTTTAGGATTAAAAAAACATCCAGAGGAAAATAAAATGTGGGAGATAGACTCATCCAAATTTCAATTTGGATTAATAAGGAGTCAAACCAAGAAGTACATAGGTTTTACCTGGTGGTATATGATCTGGAAAGATGGATTTTTATAAAAACACAAATTGAGAAAGAAATTAAGATGAAAATTATTCTCAGATTATGGAGGACTTTGAACATTAAACTGGGTCGTTCAGATCATATCATTGTTGTTGTTTTTTTCATAATGACCATGGAAAATCTAAACAGTGACCAGAAAACAGCAATAGCAGCAACAAAGGATTTCTTTTATTAAGCACACATCTTTTGAAAGCAAACTCAAATATAGTATGCCTGTGTTCAGAAGGCTCTGCCCTAAGGAATTCTCTCAGATACAATGTGAACGTTTATTTAGACTAGATTTAGATTAGTGACTGAAAATAAATTTATAAGCATCCATCTATTTATTTGTTAAAAATACTCACTTTTACCCCCTGTTCTTTATTGTGTGTCTGGTTGTTTAATCATCTGATACACAGAGAGTCCTCCATAAGATAGGAACGTCTTTATGATTCTACCATAGACGCATTTGATATATATTCCGCATCATATAGAGAACCGCTTGCACCCCCTTTAAGGGCCCATTGCCACCCTTGCTGTGGTTCAGGAAGAGCTTTCTCCAGTAGCGTTTTGACCCTCTGTTTGATTACATAACAAGGGTTTCAGAGGGTTACATCTCCTATCTTTCTGTAGGTGAGCTTTCTGACTGCTTTCCCAATTTCTTTCTTGCTTTGCCATGTTCTTGTGATTACAAAATACTAAAGCAGTTGCAAGACAAATGGATTGTGATTGCCGGTAAAACCCATTACAAGGAACACTTTTGTATATTTACTCTAGAACACGAATATCGAGCGTATTGATTTTGCTTAAATTTTCTTTCTTGAGATGACCCAATCATGCAAGACAAGAAACAAACAAACAAACAAACTCAGCTTCCAATAAGCTTACAATATGCTACAGTTTCCAATAAACATGTGATATTCTTAAGGTAGGAAGAATACTTTTAGGGAAGCAATTCCAAGAACAGGCTTTACTTTAAATGTCAATTATTTTTCCTTTCCAACTCTCTCTCTATTTTTAACCATCTCTAATAACAACAGCAATATTAGTGGTGATATCCCCAGCTGGTAGTAAGAATTGTTTAGGTTAAAATTGTGTACATTCAAACTACCTGTATTTTATTCTAAAGTTATCTTTTGGAACACTATCAAATATACTAGTTCCAAAAGGAAGACTTTATTCTCACAGGCAAGAAATCTTAGAATTAAAATTTGGGGTGAAAAATATATTTAT